ACAATTGAACTTTTACTTAAATTTTTTTTTTATTTTTATCTCTTTTATAGTTTAAACGATATTCATTCCGAAAGAAAAGAAAAATTGAATTGAATTGAATTTTTGCAGGAGGATTTTACTGATATTAATATTTTCTTAACTTGCATCTCAGCACTCACATAAAATCTTATCTTTTATTTTTATTTACGTTTTAACATACTTAGAACTTATTAAAATTGGGACGGGGACAGTTAGTTTGTATTGCTAGAAATATAATATTAAAATTTTAATTCTTACCTTTATTAGTATTTGATAGCGGTTTTTTTTTACGCTTTACGCGTAAACGCGTATTCTCTTTTCTATTATTGGGTAATTCTTGTAAAGATTCTATCCTTGCGTCATTTATTTTTACGTTACTTTCAATATTCTGTAATATTTTTGATTCTGTTCTATAAAGTACACACAGAGCATTTTCATCAGACAGTGAATTATGTATACTATTATTATTTTCTGCAAAGAAGTGCAATTAATATTAATATTTTTAATAATAACAGAATTATCATAACTAAGGAAAGTAGAAATTCAGTCACAAAGTTTAAATTAAAAAAAACTTTTACTTTTTGTTTCGTGTATTGTTTATATTTTAAGTATTTTAAAGTAATAATAATTTTATTACTATGTATTTCTTCAATAATTATTTTACTTAGGCGGTTTATTTAGACGTTTAAATTTATATGATTTGAATTAAAATAAAATCTAGCAGAACGTAATTCAGTCTAAAGTAATTTGAATTTAATGGTTCATATTTTTAATGTTTGATTCTTAGAATCCAATAAAAGATTTTTATTTTTTTTAAATTAATAATAACCTTAATAATAGATAATCTAATAAATAAATAATAACTTAGTAAATACCTTCATAAAGTAAGTTGGCCTTTAGTAGAATATTTTCACATGTATCAGTGAACATACGTAGAAATTCTTCAAGATTTAATCTAAAAGAAAGAAAAAGTAGATTTATAAAGTATAATTCGTAAAGGAGTATTAAAAAGCAATACGATAAATAATATATAATAAAATTACAAAATGTTACAATATAGAATATGTTGGGTTTTTATAAAGATATATGTAATCAGGGATAATATTTAACACGTACTCTTTATTACGTGTCGTTACAACTAACATTCTACAAGAACAAGTACCGCCATTAACCACGTGTGTTCTCCTCACGCGCAACGCATGATGTATAGGAGCAGGTCTGCCAACCTTAGTCGACGCGCAGCGGACATAACTAGTTTACTAGTCGCGTTTACGTGAACATTAAAATAAAGCAGCCTTAATAATAATTAGCTTAGTGGAGTAAATAAAACAAAGAAACGAATACGCTTATCCCCACAGAATACATTAAATAAAAATTATACAGGATTCTTTTAACAAACCATAATAATACAACTGCGTTAAAGGACCATAAGAGTCAATTCAGATAAGTTTCATTATGACGATATTAATATTATTGTTAAAAAATTTTTACATACATATACAGTGGATCAAAAAACTATTTGCACACTCGGTTTCTTTAGAAATACGGTTATACTTTAATATTTGAAGAAGACTCAAAACGAGAGTCGAAACATGTTATATTATATCGAAATTATGAAAAGAGTGAGTAATAGGACTCGTATAGGTATGTAAAAATTTTTCAACAATAATATTAATATCGTTATAATGAAACTTATCTGAATTAAACTCGTATATATAGGTATGTAAAAATTTTTCAACAATAATATTAATATCGTTATAATGAAACTTATCTGAATTGACTCTTATAGTCCTTTAACACAGTTGTATTATTATGGTTACAATATAGCATATGTTAAAAACTGCTGATATATACATTTAATTTAAAAACGTTTATTAATAAGAATATAAATAGTGTACAGTCAGGAACTGAAAGGTCGCAACACTTCCTTTTCAATGGATTTCGAAATGCAGCATCTTTGAAAGATTGGTTCTTATGGATCCATAAATAAGAACCAATCGCTCAGTGACTTGGCTGCATTCCGAAACCC